AGGCCAGCAGCCACAGCTTGCCAAAACGACGACGAGATCCCCTTTGCAGCCTTTTGGCTGTGGAGTAAGCAGCGCCAAGGGCATGTGGTGGGCAGCTGCTGGTGCGAGGAGCTGTTGAGATGCCAGTAAGGGCAGAAATCCCCATGCTGCCACCACCTCCCTCAAGCCACGCAGTCCCTGTGCACCCAGGGCTACCCCAGAGGTCAAACATCCCTCAGCAGCCCTGGGCAGTGAGGGAGGGAGGCAGAGCTTTGCTGCAGCAGCCCGAGGCAGAACAGTTGGAGGGTGAGGCAGGCGCCGGTCCCTGCTCCAGGAGGATTGCTCACCAGAGAGCACCGCTCCCCTTCGCACCAACCAGTCCTTTTGCCACCTGACTTCAGCACAGTTGTGGAGTCCTTGCCAGGTGCCTCACTCCCATTCATTCCCAACACAGTAGCTGATTTTGTAAGACACAGCAACACCGTCTCCCAGGCTGCTTTCCACTCCTGCAGCTCCTGGAAAGGAGTGGGGCTGGGAAAAGCCTCAGCAGCTCCATGCCCAGAGGCTCACAGCCCAGGGCTGCGGTGTAGGAGCAGCGCTCTGAGACACATAACCTGGTGATACACCTGAGCAAAGGGAAAGCCCTCAGCTTTCAATGAGGATGTGGATTCGGTGGGCACTGTGTCAGGCTTTGGCAGGCTGCCCAGGCAGGACAGGGAAAGCCAGAGCATGCCAGAACGTTGGATGAGCTATATTTCTTCGGTATTGCCTAACCTGTCTTGTACCTGCCCATTAAATATCCTTAAAGGATCAATTCTGTGTAAGCAGTAGGGAGTAACAATACCTCAAAAGCACTTGGCTTATGAGTGATTCAGATGAAGATATGGGAGAGTCAGGAAGTTTAAAACAGCTTATGGCAACTTCAAAATCAACAAGTCAAAAGCATAATGGTTGAAGGGATTAATTCACCAAATGTCTTTACAGATTTGCACGGTACCAGGCAACTGTACTAACTTGAGTATCAACAAAAGCTAGCCCTGACATCAAAGAGGCTGAAATCTACTGGGGCATGAGAGATGCCAAAGGCAGGGCTGGGCCCAGGGCAGACTGAAATCAATGGCACGCTTCCCATTGTGAGCTGCACCAGGGCAGCGCCTGCAGCCTTGAGTAAACTGAACTGACCACCCATGGATCCCCAACAGATTAGTGCCTCTGTGTATTTCTCCTTACGTAAACTATATTTATATAAAGCACATGCATGCTAGCAGTTATCAGTGGTACAAGCAAATAACAAACTTCAAATTGACTATTACCTCTCGTGAACTGATTTCATTTTTGACTGCTTTGTGTTTGCTTGCCAGAAACTAATCTCTGAACCCTGTTTTGTGCAATGGGGGGTGGTTATGTGCATATGTCAAAAAATTTCAGCTGAAATTGCTTAACTTTGAGCTCCTTGAGAAGCACAAAAGCAAAGAGCATCTTCCTCAGAATTAACAAACCTCCTCTCATAAAATCTGCTCAACCTTGTTCTTTTACAAAAACCTCGTGCTGGGCTGCAAAGCTACCAGAGAACAGCCCTGGGGATGGGAGAGGGCTAGGGAGGGAGGTGGGAGCTGGATGCACAAGATGGCTGTAGGAAAGGACCCTAGGGGGTCCGTCTTCCTAGCATTTCCTGATTTAGGGACTGTTTTCCATTCCATTTCTGGACGTCACTCATGTTCGAGAAACACCACAGAGAAGAGCTGCCTTGGAATATGCCCTGACAGTGCAGCACGCAGTGCCAAAGACCTGTCCTCACACAGTGCTGCTCATCATTCGCACTGCACTTATTCCTGTGCAAACACACCCGTGACACCCTGTGATCCAGCTGGTGTGGTGTCCCAGCAAACTCAAACTTCAAATGCTGTCAGAATTTTTTTCTCCCCTTATTTTGAGAAGAAATTTCAAGGCAGTATTTTTATTTTTACCTCCTAGTTTCATGATTTAGCACTTACAGAGCTCGTTCCTACACTAATCTGGTTCCATCACATTGCGACCTGTCTGGGAAGATGTTCAGAGCTTCGAGAGCCCAGCAGTCACCCAGAAAGAAAATGAGGATCTGTGGACTTCGCAATGGTAAGCATCTGGGGCCTTTTTTTTCATGAGGATGAGGTGACAGCATTTAAAAAACATTAATAAGGAGCAGAGTGTTTATAGCATGCCTGTCTTCAGTGGGAATACAGACAGGAGGGAAGCGGGATGAGAGCTGCAGTTTTACAAGAGAGAAAAATTTGGACATCTGCACTTACTCTCCAGCTTTGCCCAACCTCCAGCCAAACACTCTCTTGCATCGCAGAGATGTGAGATCACATCGCAAAGATGCTGTTTTCCAAGGCTTCCTGGAAAATTTCAGCTCATCCACACCCAGAGTACAGAGGTATGAAATGGAGGGGCTTGGAGCAGTGCCTGGACACCCTTTCCCTCCTGACAGCCCTGCTTCCAGCGTTGCTGCAGGCACCACCCAGTCTGCATGCACGGCTGCCCAGCTATGCCCCATACACTTGGGGTTTTGGGGATCCTATGGCTGGGGTGGCTGCTGGAGCACAGGTGTGATTCAGGCACGCTTCTAGGTAGGTTAAAGATCTTCTGACAATAGGGCAGGCAGGTGGGACAGAGCTCAAAGCCAAATAAATCCCCTTTTCAGTTATTCTGAAACTTCTGTCAGATGGTATCAGCCATCACTAAAGAGCAATAATATACACCATTAAGTAACCTGAAAGAATATTCTTCCACCTTGACACAGAATAAGTTTAGAAAAACTGCATTTCTTTCCCATTATCACTAAGAGAGCCAGATGTCTACACATTGAGTAGAGTTGCATTTTTCAGTGGGTTTACTGATGTGCGAAAACCAGAATAGCTAGAGCAAACCCATCCCATGAGCTGCAGCAGTGACCAAACACCTTTCCCCAACGTGTTACCCACGGCAGTGAGAGGAGCAAGAAACCTCTCACCTCTGCTGGAGCTGCCATCCTCCCTGCAGACCTGCAAAACCGCACATGCGACAACAGGCTATGATATCGAGCATTAAAACTCACCGACGTTATGGCTCATGGCTCTTGTCAGTGTCTTGACCCGAGGTGCCTGCAATGCCAGCAGCTTCCAAGCTCCTGAGTAGCCTCTGCTACTTGATTCTGAGTGTGAAGGAGGAAGACTGCCCTTTTTATCTCACTCTAAGGCGTCAGCAGGTCCACTGCCAAGGGGAGGTGTTTAGAGAAAGGAAGTTCCCAACGAGGAGGAAAAAAAAAAGACAACAACTCCCTCTGCACATAGTCAGACCCTGAAAGACAGCGAAACTTAAATCCAGACTCACATGGAAGGTGGATTTGCACAATCAGATGACAAGTGGACAGACCCTTCACTGACAAACAGCAAAATCATGGGCTAGATGAGTAATAAGAATACACCTATGCCCTAACATCCAGGTGATCAGGACTGCAGCTCGAGGGCTAACCTTATGTTGCAGGTTATAAGACAGCTCATACTTAATCCTTAGGGAAACAGAGTTCCCCACTAGGATCAGTCTAACTTTCTTTGAAGTTAACGAGATTTTTTTTTCCTCACGTTCCAAAGAAAAGCACTTGAAGCTATGGGCTAAAATCAAGCATTTACATGTGTGGGGTGGAAAGCTCAAGGATCCTGGTGAAGGATGGTAGGGAAGATAGCCCAGTGGGAGTTACCAGGTGGGAAAGAGCAAAAACAGGCCACGTGCCAGAGGAGCAAGAAATGCAGTGGCTCACCAGCTGTTTACAGACAGCTGTACCACAGGTGTCTGCCCAGGAGGTGGCTGGACCCCACAGGCCCCACTGTCACCCTGGGCACACTGCACCCTGGGTCCTCAGGGTGACTGAAGATGCAGAGATGAACTTCTGCAAGGCTGGTGCATCTCAAGATCTCCCTGCGGAAATCTTCAAAAGCACTGATTTTTCTCCATCAGTTCGCGTAGCTAAGTATTTACTTTAGGAGGACTCTTTCATCTGGTGCCGCAATGTTGGCACAAGCCAGGTGCTGAGCTAGCAGATCCCACCCTTCGAGCATGTTCCCACTTGCTGGCAGGTGTACACTGGGTGTCCTTACTTGAGGGCACCTCGGGTTCAGTACACATGTCTAATCTTACTGGACATCTTGTGTGAACATCTGAACTGCCAGTGTTCTTGGTAGACAGAGCATCACTCACCATTCAGCATCAGACAATGTGCTGGCAATTACACATTTCCCTCTTGAAAAGAACGCTACAATGCCAGTTTGCCTTTCAGCTTGCTTGTACTCTGCATTTCTTTCCTCCTGGAGGGTGGAAGACATCTTCATTTAAAAACTGCATGGGATGAAGTTAAGCATACGTGGAATGTTGGTACAACAACATAACTATAATTCACATAATATGCACATTTACGATGCATATTACCGTTTTCCACTTAATTGCAGCGAGTAATCCATTTCATCTGGAGTCACTGACAGTAACTTTCTAATCCAGTCCTAACCCTGTGGGGTTTTTTATATATATATATATGTATATACAC